GCTGGCTGGGGAATTCTGGGAGTTGAAGTCCACACATCTTAAAGTTGACAAGGTTAAGAAATACTTGTTTAAAGCGATCAACATCAATGGCAAAGTATAAACCTGATCTTAACGAGGAACCAGTAATCCATATGAAAAATGGACAAAACTGGTTGGCAGCTTTTTAGAGTGGGAAAACGTTTGAGGCTTTTCTAGATATATGCCCAGAATTTTCTGCCAATAGTAAGGTTTTCATCCAAATGAGCCTCCTCTCCTAAAGCAACCTGTTTGTGCACCAAGGTGCCACTGGAAGCTTTATTCTGTCGCACACACCACTATGGGGAGGGTTGGCAATGTACAAGAGGACTGTGGCCTGTTATACCCATGTCCCACTATCTTCCTAGGCATGCCCACCTGCCAACTCTCTACTCTGTTTTTAGGCAATGAGCAAAACCTTTTGGTTGCAAATGGTTAGATTCCTCCCAGGTTTTCCCCCTGCCACCATCAGATCTCAATTTACAGCTTATTTTAAAAACCCGGGAAGAAATTTTATGCAGAATTTCCACTCCAGTCTTCTGATCACATTTCAGCTGCAAGACCTGAAGTCTGCCGGATTAAGTTAACAAAAACATTAAAGCAGACCGCCTGCTTTTTGATTGCTCTTCTGCAGACAAGTTTTGGGGCAGTATTTCTTCCTGTGATACACATGGACACCCTCAAAACATTCACAGTGCATCACAGAAAGACGCTTAAGGCGAGAGGGTAGCAGGGAGGGTAGCCAGGCACTGAAAGTTCAGCTCATGCGGCAACAGACTTTTCGCCTTGTTCCGTTTACTGGCCAGGAGGGAGAGACCACAGGAGCCCATCCAGGCCAATCATTCTCATTTACAACGCAGACTGCCGCTGGGCTCAGCGACGACTGTCCACTGCAAACTATCTGGGTTGTGCTTCTTCAGTCGGACAGAACCAGCCTTAGGGAGGGAAACAAAGAAAATGATAAAGGCTCACTTTCATAAGCCGGTCATTCAGGACACGGGAAGCATCCTTGTCGTTAAGATCAGTGTTTTTAACATCTAGGCTCAGACTGGCTGTCGCACGAGTAAAATCTCCACGGGCCCCAAGCAGCCACTGAAGGTCCAAACCCTTTTTCTGCAGGAGAGCAGAAACAGAACCTTGAGGTTAGCAACACAGACACGTGACGGGACTGCCTAGCAGTTATTCCAGGCTTGTTTTGGTTTTGCCAGGCATTAATAACGGGGCCTTGAAGTTCAGGAAACCAGGACCATTATTGGCATTCCAGACATTGAGCCACGTGACTCAGCTAAACCGTTGTGTTACGGTGTCAAGCAGCCTTGATTCCTGCAGCGCCTTGACCTTTCAACAGAGCCTAAATATCTGGTAGCATAAGCTCTTTTCACTGTAGCCCAAACTGCCTTTAAACGCCACTAAGGTACACAAGAGCATTTTCTGGTGACTCCCCCTTTTCTACAAACGGCTCCTCCCTTGGTGCTGCTGTATCTTCTGCTCTCCCCCCGGAACGTAAAGAGCCAGTGGCAAGCCTTGCTACAGTGCGTGGCCTCCTCTCACGTCCTTACCCGCATGTCCCTCTGGTAAGGGAGCAGGCCCATCACAAAGCCGTGCACGCGACTGTCGTAGCTCTTGTAGTCCAGGTACAGTTCGCGGTCGTGCGTCAACCTGAGGGCCATCCGGCCGGCTACTTCAGCAGCCGTGCGCATCGCGTTCTCCAGCTGGCTGAGAGAATTGCCAAAGGCGTGGAGCAGGTTGTTCAGATTGTCCTGTGATGTGCCGAAATAGGGGTAGGGGTAGGAGCTTCCACCCTGCAAGGCAGAAGCAAAACTGTGAGCATTCCACGCACAGGGGTCTTTTCTATGCCCTGCCTCCCCTCCATTTTGTCTCAGCAAGTTCTTGACTAGCAAAAGATTGTTGAGAGAAAATATGGGCTTGTGAGCGGAGGAGCATCACGGAGAAGCCCCCTGCTTTTCTGCTGCTACCTCAGTCCTTACAAGCAAGCATGTTTTCAACAGTCAAGGCACACAAAGCTTTCAAGCTTCTGGCGAAGATACGTCCCATCTTCTGGCAGGATCCACAACACAGAAATTACCTGATCTCCATTCCGATGAAAAGGCCACCCTCCCCTGTAATTTCCCTCCTCTCCAGGACTTTAAGTTGTTGTTTTACCTACTGGCACTGTTATGGCCAGCCTTATACTGGCAGCCCGCAGGAGTGATCTGTTATCTATTGATCAGAAGGTGTTCTGACCACCACCCCATTTCCTATATTCAATTAAGCCACTGAGTAAAGCCAGGGAAGATGTATTCTCCTCGTTCCAATAAAAATTTAGCATTTTTCTCCCAGAACGTTCGATGTCTATGTACACAGAAAAGGTTTAAAATATACATTCGCTGCTAGACCACACTCATGAAGCACCTGGAAAAACACTGGAGGCTTCTGACTGAATTCATTTACAATACTGTACAAAGAATCTGCCCTCACCACCATCCAACAGACTTTTCAAAGGGGTGTTTTTGCAAACTATCAGGCAAGGCACAAATATACACCATCATGGAGGGTTGGGCCTCCAGGCAAGCTCAAAATAAAACGACACTCAGCTATTGGGCAGCTGAGAGACAAGTGGGAAGAGAAATGACGAGCTGATTAATTTCTGCAAGCACCATACTCCCCAAATGGTTGATCTACCCAAGATAACAGATACAAATGTCAGCATAAATCTGAAAAAGTTGAAGAGAACTTGGAAATACCTCTGACTGGTTTCAACAAACACTGTAAAGACTTGAGAAATGGGAAGATAGCAAGTCTGGGAAGCTTCTCTGACTTATTTACGGTTTTCTTGGGTAGATCACATCCTGTTTTTTGGTGGTCCTGGAGGGTTCCTGACGCTCTCTGAGCCTGGTTTTATCTGACAGATCTTTCATTACCAGGCTAAATAACATCATCAGTACATCAACTGGAAGTGAGGCTTGGTAGATGACAACCAAGCTCAAAGAGCATCAGGAACCCAATCCTGAGTAACACAGATTTTCTGCTTAGGCTATGCCCTTACCTATTATCTTCCCATAGACTTGTCCTCAAAGAGCTTACTAGATGGAGAGGGAGCAGACTCCCCACAAGCCGAATCCCTCAGCGTGGGAATGTCCACACTGACCTGCGATTTGATGCCCGGCAAGAGCCCTAGTTCCGAAAGCAGCTTGCACCCTCAGAATGCGAACATGGGCTGTTGAAAAGCTACTGCGCCGAAGAGCTAGGACGGAACTCACGTTGTTGAAGCTGAAGGAGATGGCTGGGATTCCCGAATACGCGGTGAATGTCCTGGCCGTGTCATCTACCTGAAATGGAACTCTGGGGGGGAGGGGGGGTAGAAAAAACTTTTCAGCCATTGCTTTTAGAACGATGGGATCAGAACTCCACCAATATGCACCAACAACTGTGTTGCAATCAAGAAAGCACACAAAATCATGACTCCTGGGGCCATGCAGTTTTAGATTTAAGCTTTTGACTACCTATACTGTATTCCAGCGCATCCTAGCAATCCGATACCATTTCAGGGCCAGGGCTGCTGAATACATAAGATTTTTCAATATTATTATTTCTCGTGGGCAGGAGAAAGTGCTCATTTCACGCTAAGCGTGCCCCTTGATCCTTTTGCAAATTCACTGTTCTGAAAAAGACACTACAGAATTCACACACTCTTTGATGAGCGGGCAGTGCTTTTTTTATGTGAAAAAGCTCTTCCTCCACAGTAGACCTTGTAATAGAGGCCACATCCACGTGAGAATGAGCTACAGGAACAGTCCTTTTGACACCTGCTGAGTCTGAATGTTGAACAGTGCCTAGAATATGTTCAGGACAGAATCGGGCTTTAAGGAAGACATAGGAAATTTTAGGACTTCCACCTCACATTTGGACAGAAGAGACGACACAGTGGGTGGGGCAATGGCGCAACCTCATAGATGTGGGCAAAGCCAAGAAGTCTGGAGGTGTTCTCTTGTGGGGGAAAAGGTTATGTTTAAAGTCTGACTATCAATTAGTTTTGGGCTGCTTCTTGGAGCTGTGAGCTGCAAAGCAGGAGTCCTATCAGGCTGAAAACAGAAACAGGGAGAGCAAATGTTTACTTACTCTTTGCTTGCCAAAGTGGTACGAAGACTGAATGACAGCAGCTTGACCTAGAGAAAGACACAATGAGTATCCCATCAGACTCTTTTCAGACTAGGGATAACCCATAGCCCCCTGGGGAGATCCAACTGTCTGTGGCTCAGTTCAAATCCCACTCCCTTGCCTGAGACTTTCCTTCTGGCTCTTCTGCTGTTGCAGACCTTAAATCAGAAGGCACCAGATGTTCAACAGCACGGCACAGGGAGGATGAAGCGTATACAGAGGAGGCCAAGGGACCAACAGCACATCTTGCTTTTGTTCCTGAGAGGCACCACTGGTGCCTGGCTCGCTTATTACTTCATTTTTCTAGAAAACAGCCCAACAGGCTAGTTCTACTCACATCTGTGACTGCTTCTTCCAGGAGCTTTTTCAACATGGGGCTGGAAGAGAACCGGAATTCCTTTGATCCTGTGGGATGGAACGAGAAGTTTTAGGTCAAGATACTCTGAGGTCCCAGAAGTCATACTAAACAGATTTGCCAATTTCAGACCAAAGATCTGAGACGTTGCTGAAATCCTAGATCTCCTATGGCTTGAGATCCAGCTACCTAATTCTCACATGGGATGTTCTGCTCAGCCTCCAGCCTCGATTATTTAATTTATTTATTTATTTATTTTCAGAATTGTATGCCGCCCATCTCCCCTAACGGGTGACTCTGGGCGGCTCACAATAATAAAAAAGAAAAAACACAGGTCTCTCCAAACATGGATACAATCTATAAATAATTA